CTGCATCAAATGGTACCTCTATTTGCAACTTTTTAAAAAAGTGCCGTACCGCCTTCCATAGTGGTTACATCAATTTAGACTCCCACCAACAGTGATTAAGGGTTCCAGTTTCTCCATAACTGCACCAGCATTTGATATTTGCTGTTCTGCTAAATTTTGGTATTCTGACTGGGGTTAGATGATACCTCATAGTTGTTTTGGTTTGCATCTCTCTTAGAGGTGGGGATTTTGAACATGTGTTTTTTGGCCATCTGAATGTCTTCTTTGGTCAAGTGTTCTTATCCTGTGCTCATTTTTCAATTGGGTTGTTTACATTTATCTTGTGTTGCTCGAATATTCCATATATTCTAGATATAAGTCCCTTGTCTGACATGTCATTGCCAAATTTTTTCCCCCCCAATTTGTGGCTTCCCTTTTTACCCTGTTGGAGAAGTTTTTGGATGTGCATAGAGATTTGATTCTTAGAAGGTCTCATTCATCTATTTTGTCCTCTCCTGGTCTCCTTGTTCAAGAGTTCTTAAAGTATGTCTTGGCTCTAGGTGACTCATTACGTCATCTAAAATTATTTCTAAATGATTGATTATCTCATTATTTCATATTTTTATATCCTGTTTTCTTTCATCAGTGAAACCTGATCCAACTGGTCATGCAAATGCTTAGATAGTTCTTCTAGTCATTGAAATCCAGCCTGTGGTCTGGTGGAAAAAAAAATCAACATTAACTGCTTAAAGTGGAGTGTTATTAGTCTTAGGCCAACCATGATATAGAACCATCTTCTGTTTTCTTCTCATTACCTTCTTTGGTTACCACAAATGAGGCCGACTCTGTCAACAGAGTTTGTGTGGTCCCCAGATAGGGTTTGTTGTGTCCTTCTGTATGAATGAGGTGGGTTGACAAAGTGACTGCAACAGTGGGCTTAGCACAGTGGAAGTTGTGAGGGTGGCAGAGGATGGAGCAAGGTTTTTTGACAACACGTACGAGATTAATTCATATAACATGAGGTTTACTGAAGCATGAGGCGTTTTGAAGGATATTTGGTAAATGTTGAGGAAAAGTAAGTATGCTCATCCCAGATAGTACCAAGAGTGTCTACCAAGAGTGTCTCCGCTTTTGATGGATTCTACTAGAAAGGAGATGTGCTGCCAACCCAAAGGCATGCAGTTTGGATCTACCAGCTGCTTCACCACAGAAAGGTGGACAGTGTCCCTCCCTATAATTAAGTGCCTCTGAAACCTGCTGGAGGGTCAGCTATGGGGCCATTCCAACTCAGCAACACATAACAGTAACAACAGTGAAAAGCTTAGCATAGCCTCCCTAATGGCGTCCTTCTTCTCTAAAAGAGACTCTCTTTTTGTATGTCTCTCAACTTTTCTAATCTACACTATGAGAGAAACTTCAGAAATCTAGACCTTCAGATAAAACAGTAAAAGCTTGAGATTTTGTCCATGACATTCTGCTTTGTGTTATGAAGGGAAGAAAGGTAAGTAAAACAGAATAGCTCCAAGACTTTGAAGCTTCATCAGCTTTTTTCTCTCACTTTTGTGGGCTTTTTTATGTTTGTAGTGATTGCTGTTTTTCTGGTCCCATTTTTCTATTTGTAGTTACAGTTTTCATCTTGAAAGATCTTGCAGTCACAGTTCTTATCAAGCACTGGTGCTCCAAAATTTTGTGGAAAAGTGACCATTTATACTCTGCTTGCTTCTTACATCTCTTTGGCCCCTGTACAGTCCAACTAATTTATAAAGAATCTTAAACAGAGTAAGGAACACTCAGAATCTCAGCTTGACTTTCAGTTTAGGGGGAAAAATGGTATGTGGGGTTTTGGGGTTTTTTTTAACATGAACACATAAATTAACTACTTCATTTCTGGGAAAAGGTAAGTAGTAAATGGATAAATCAGACACATAGACTCTCCTAAATTTAGAAACCCTAGCTTTGGTGATGTAGTCCGTAGAGAGTTCTGCTAATCAAAGTCTGTGCCTTTGTGGTGGTTCGAATCCTCCAGTGGCTCTGCTTAAGAAAGATGGTGGTCTCCTCCCATGCAGTGAATTGATGCTGCCTGGAGCATTGAGTTCGAGTTTTGTTGAATAAATATTTAAGTAACTATTTGTGAATAGCTTCTACTTACTTCCTCTTTTAGCTAGCTTTCTTCTTTCAACCTTTACTCACAGGTGCTCTCTTTTTCCAAGATGATGATATTAAAACATTTTTAGTTCCTTCTTGGGAACTTCTTAACCTGAACAACTATATGTTCTTTAACTGCCAGCTTAAATGTTAATTTCTTCAGTGAAAGATTCTCTGATACCATCTTCCATGTTTTTGTTATATAGTCCACCTGCATCCTTCCTTTTTAGTAAAACACTTGGAGTTGCATGAGAATATCCTTATTTCTTGTTTTGATATCTTTCACCTCCATCAAGAAGTGTTGCTAACCCAAAGACAGGCAATTCAAATCCCCCAGCTACTTCTCTTGCAGCCTCCTCTCTTGTGATTTACAACCTTTGAAAAGCTGCTGGAGAATCTGCTGTGAGGTGGTTCCAGCTGGATGGCAGTGAATGAGTGAGTGACCACCCCTGCCACGTGTCATGTGCAAGGAAACATGGAGAGGATGCTCTGCACTTTATCCCCAGCACCTGACTCAATGTCACATGAGTTTCTGTTAGCTCGTTTTGCTCTGCTCAATTCTAGTAGCTTCAGCTTAGTGCCTCAGCTTTTCTTAGTATATTACACTGCATTTTAAATGAAACATGCTTTTGTAGGATGGTCTTTATTTTTAAACACCAGAGTATCTTTTTCTCATAAAGAAAATAGCTTCTTTGCAAATGGACTCTTAACATTAACATACAGTTAAGTGGTAAATTGGCTACAATACTCTTCCTTTGTGCTTGGGACTCATCTTTGAAATCGATAGGGATTTTCTCACACTGTCATTTACTTTTATATCTGCTTCCTAATCTATTAAATCTAAGCTAGTAATCTAATCTATTGAACTGGTCTAAGTAGTGCTGGTGCCTCAGTAAATTAAGTGTTGGACTGCAAATAAAAAGATTAGTTGTTGAACCTACCAGCCTCTCCATGAGAGAAAAGTCAAGACTTACAGCCTTGGAAACACTAGGGAACATTTCCACTTTGCCCTGTAGGGTTTCTTTGAAATAAGCGTGATGGCAATAAGTTTGGAGATGCTTTCTCAGACACATGCAGTGTGTAAAGCATTGGGTTGTTAAGTTGATATATATTATGGACCAAACTGTCTCCTAAATATATGTTGGGATAATAAACTCTCTACTTTGGGGCAGTGGGAGCTGGAGTAATGTAGTCCATAGATGGGGAGTTGTACTGCTCACCCAAAAGCCATGCGTTTCTTGTGGTTTGAATTCTAAAGGCTCTGCATGAGAAAGACGGGTAGTATCCATCTGTGTGATTTACGACACAGATTTATGACCCTCGGAACCCCAATGGGAGAGTCAGCTGTGAGTCGGTTGTGATTCAACAGCCATAAGTTGAGTTTCATTACACTTGTGGCTATAATTGCGTTTGAGAATAGTTTGGTTTTCTTTTTTAATACCAAGGAAATCATATTGTAGGATGTATCTTAGACCTAATTGCTGTGGAAATGGAAAAAGAACAGGTGGAGAAAGATCGATACCATGGTACCTGACAGTCACTGAAAAGCCCAGGATGGAAGCGGAAAAAAGACAAGAACCTTCTCCCAGAGCTGGCAGAGACAGGAAGTCTTCCCCTGGATTGCACTTCTTGTTCCTAAGATACAGGAAAATAAATTGGTTAAAACCATCCATTTTAAGGTTTTAAAATCAGTGTTAGGATTTACAAATCCTAATGATTTTCATATAATCCTAAACCTTTTATTTTAGAACTTTTTGTACTGTTGACTTAATTTATTGCACTATAATCAATCCCCTTTTTAGATATTGCCTGCCTTTTAACCCAACTTATCAATTTCACTCCTTTTACCTTCTTTCTTACCCCTATTAAGCCTCCAAGATGCTTCTGTCTATGTGTAAACCTTCCCTTGGCATTTTATAATAATGGTTTTATATAATACTTGTCCTTTTGTGACTGACTTAGGTCACTCAGCATAATTTGTTCTACATTCATCCATGTATTTCATGAATTCTTGGTCAGTTTTTAGTGATGCATTGTTCTCCATTGTATCAACATACCAGAGTTTCTTTAGCCATTTGTCCATTGATAAACACTTGGTATTAGAATGTGTATGTAGTTTGCTATTTGTATTTTTGTTACAGTTATACTAAGAAACTAGCATTGTAAGTGAAAATAAGACTTTTTTCCATATTCAAAAAGAAAGCATTCCAGTGAGACCTTTTAGAAGCAGAAATGGTGTCAGGTAAAGAAGCATTTCCCACTAATTTATACAAGAAAACTTTTTAAAATATTACCAGACCCAAAAAGTAACCTACCACATCATACCAATAGTACATAAAGATAAGAAATAAGACTAATAGAACATATATGTGGGTGCATGAGCAGATAGTCTGTATGGTAATTTACCATAGGTGTGATTTCTGGATCAATCACTCACTTTCATTTGGGTAAATAACTGTCAAAGTTGTCTTCTGGAGCAGTTACAGACTGTGCAGCATGAGACTCTGTGTTTGTCCAAACCCTTGTCAGTAGAACATATGTTATCAAACTCTTACCCCACAAACATTGAGTTGGTTTCAACTCATAGTGACCCTCCATCAGGTTTCCAAAGCTATAAATCTTTACTGAAAGATTCGAACCACGAGCCTTCTTTCAGTGTTGCCTTGTACCACCAGAGATCTTTTTCGATATTTGCCAAATGGGAACTTCTTTTTGAAGAGTTAACTGCATTCCTAATTCAGAAACTAAACAGCCATGAACAGATTTGGTAAGATGCAATGTATTTAATAACCATGTATTTGATTTCTGAGAGTTGTTACTCTGATGTGATCTGTCTTTCCTCTTTTCCCTTCCCCCTTTCTCCCCTTCCCAAACAGGTAGTTATGCTTGTCCTAGCCTGGAAGCTGGATGCACAAAATATGGGTTATTTTACTCTACAGGAATGGTTAAAAGGAATGACCTCTCTACAGTAAGTCTTGAGATGGCACAGTGGGGTCCCTGCTCTCTCCAGGTGCTTGTCTCCTCTCTGGGGCCCCAGGGAGCCTGTGGTTGGGTGAGTGGAGGAAGCCCGATGACCTGGGCAGCTGTCTAAAGATGGGACAACCAAGATCTCGTTTTGTCTAATAAGGGTGACGTGTTGTTAGGTGCCAACGAGAATGGCTCTGACTCACAACAGAATGAAGTGGTAGTACTATTAATGGGTGAATTTTGTCACAAGGCTTTTATGCTTTATATAGTGTTTATTTTGTGTTCTTTTAGAAGCAGTCCTGTTAAAAAGATAGAGCTGAACCTTTTCTCACATATGTGAAGCACATACATAATTGCATGCTTTCTAATAGCTACCTGATAAGAGAAAAAGACACAGTGAAGTTCATCTTAATATATTTTATATAACTTAAGATAGTCATGAATTGGTATCAAATTTTTGGCATAATACAGTTGATACATTATTTGATAAGTAATCAGCATAAAATATTTTATATTCTTTAGTTTATACCCAAGGCTTCAAGATCTGGTACGTGTTTTACACTAGCTGCAGATCACAGTCCACATCAGCTACCTTTCAGGTGTGTCAGGCCCATGTGGCAGTGGCTGGTGCCATCAGGGCAGAGTTTAACAAGCAAAAACTTACTCATTAGCATCTGATTTACAATTAGTGATTAAAAGTTGCGTAAGTATAATTCAAAAGTGAAAATATTTTATATGTTCCGAACTCCTAAGAGAAATTAGTTTATATATCATGATTTTAGTTTGTGGTAAAATTAAAAGTTGGCTACAGTAGTGATTAAAAAAATAATACTGTGTTTGTATTATTTGGTCCAGAACAAGAAAATGATGAGTTGTTGTATTTTTTTTACTTTGCGCATGTTTGGATGTGTGTGTTAAGTTTGCTGAATTTCACTCAGATTATTATACACTGAAAGATTCGGAGGAGGTAGGTGACTTGACTGCTAGACTTTACAAATGGCATTGGAAGAGGCAGTACTAATTCTTAACAGAGTAACTCTGTTTTTAAATACTTGGAATGGCTTTTTTTACTTTCAGGATAATAGACTTTAATTTTCACTGCCTTAAAATTAAAGTAGAAATGAATTTATGTGTTTAAATTTGCATTTTGTCACTCTTTAGCATTTAATACGATTAACAGTGCTTTATTTGTATATGAAGCCTTTTCACTGTTATTCACTGTCCACGTCACAGTTATTTTGTGAGGAAGACAGCTCAGGTTTTATGCTGCATATTTTACAAATCAGGAATCTGAGGCTTACAGGTAAAATGTTACTTGTTAGAATACAAACCCAGGACCTCTGATTCTTGAGTCACAACACCTCAAGTGAAATCTCTCAAGACTCTCTTAAAACAGTTTGTCATTTTGGGGAGCATCTTACACTTTAAAATCTGCTGGTTCTCTTATACTTTGCTACTCTGGCTTAACTCCCTGTGAATGATAAACCCAGGTGATGGAGATAGCAGGATTTTATTTCAAGGCTTAAGAAGCTGGAGGGTGCTATGACATTTTCTTCAGACAAATTTTGCATTTGTCGTAAAATGGTGTGGTGTACATATTGTACAGTTCAGATCCTTTTTCACATTTGCCTCTACATAATAATGTTAGAGGATGCCAGACCTTACTCACGTGTTTTGGATTTTGAGGGTCATAGCCTCCTGAGAGCTCAACAGCTAAATTCCTAGAAGTTTGGGAGTTGGAGGACTATGATAAACTTAGGGAACTGTTTAGAACACAAGCTGCCTGCCATTACATGACAGAACTCGCATCTTGATTCTTGAGAGATTTAATTGGAGGTTTTGTGACTCAAGAATCAGAGGTCTTAGGTCCTTGAAGAAGGACATCATGCTTGGAAGGGTGGAGGAAAAGCATAGAAGATGACCTCTGATGAGATGGGTTGACTCAGTGACTGAGATGATGGGGATAGGTGTGTTGGGATCAGTGAGACTGGCTTAGAATAAGGCAGGCTTCAGCAGCTGTTGAACATAGGGTCACAGTGAGTCTCAGGCCACTCGGTGGCCCATCACAGCAATGACAGTACTTCAATAATAATTTATCCTAATTCTTTTTATTTTAGTAGTTTTGATGACAATATCTTATTGTGATTTTTATATTTTATTTATTCATTTTACTCATTTTAAATTTACATACTTAATTTGGGCACATAAAATTGGAATCTTAAAGAAAAAAGAATCAGATATCTTGTGATTTTATTCTCACAAATCATACATCACCTTTAAGCCTCAGTTTCCTGATTTGTGAAATATGCAGGATAAAGGCGGAGCTGTCTTCTAATATATATATTAGTAAATGTAATCAGATGATAAATTAAAAATTTGCCATACTGTGGAAGTGTGCTAGAAAGAGAAAGTTCTTGAATTTTGGATCCAGTGAGGACTTTGCAATAATTCTGCCCATCTTTAGTGCCTCCAGAGTCTAAGGGATGAAATGCATCTGGCATTCATACACTCATATCCAACTCCTTGATTCTGTGTAGTAAAACTCTGCTCTCGACAGACATGTCTGTCTGAACCGTCACTGTTTTATGAGAGTTAGAAAAAAACAAGAGCAGCTGGTAAGGAACACCCTTAGATCATTTTAGTCAGAGAACACAGCTCTTATTTTGAGTGACTATTTATTTATTTATTGCCTGTTTCAGTGCTCAGGCTTCACTATGTCTCTGATGAATAAAGTTAATAGAGGTGTTGAATCTAAAAATGAAAAATGTATTAACCTTATAGTTAGCTCTGCATAGACTGTGGTGGCTGGGAAAATGCCTTTGCATTGATGGCCTGAAGGCAGACCTGGGCCTTTACCTGGTAATGGAGGTGTGATTCGTCTGAGCCTCACTGACACGCCTCCACATGCATGTGATGCTCTGTGTGTGAAAGTAACATAAAGAAGGTTCTAACAGTGAGTTGACTTTGCTCATGTTTGGGGTCTGAATTTTAATTGCTGGGGATTATTATCCTGATTTCCCAGGCTCCTGAACCTGTTATAGTGGCCAAAACTCATGTAAATGATCGCACTGTGTGCATATAGTTTGTTTTGCAAGATGAGCCTTTATAGAGCTATGACATATGGCTTTTATTGTACATGATACAGAGAAAAGCTTGGGGGAAAACTCAGGTTTAAGACGTGGCTGCTTTATACCAAGTCCTGAGTTGGTTGCTTGAACATACACACCTGCTTCTTCCTGGGCCCTTTGTTGACTTGGCAAACATTCTTGTGCTGAGGCCTCTAGGTGGCAGTCTGTGGTTCCTTCCGGTCCTGGTGACTCAGCTTGCTTCCTTAATGGAGTTCAGCGTCCTGTGGGGCAAGATTGCAGTTACAGCAGATTAAACTTATTATTGATAGTCTTAGCACTGACCCATATAACCATCCATAATAGATCAGTGACATGGAAACAGCATTTCATACTTCAGATAAGAAAACTGTTCGTTTTCTGTACTCTGGACAAAATCTCTGGGGCTTCTTTCAGTTTCAGGGACATCCTTTTGTTTGAGTGGCTGGGCTGCCTCCAGTACGTGCTGGAGAACTTCCCACTTGGCTTTGCTGCTGTGTCCAAAGAGTCAGAGCTACTTAATTTTTATGTTCCCCTAATGAGCAGCTCCTGTTCCTGCATCTGTTAAGACAAACATTTGCTCTTCCCATCGCTGGGGAGGAGCAAACGAAACCTCAAGCTAGCATTTGCAGATTTCCTGTGACTTTTGGTCTTGACCTTCTTTTCCAGTGAAAAGCAGTGTATTGGGCTGCTGCTTTTTTTTTTTTTTAATAATTTCCTTCCTCTTTGAACCTTCTCCATCATCATTATTTTTATTAATGAGTTATATATACACAAAAGTTTTTAAAAGCTCAATACAGCAGCCCAGGCAGTAGTGTTCCCAGTACAAAGTTACCTCGCTGCTCACACACCTGCCTCCCCGAATCCCACTGGGCACCCTCTGTGTTCTTCTCTCCATCACCCATCATTTGGATTTTGACACTAGAGCTCCAACAGGGCTGTTGGTATCTTTTTCTTTCTCCACGGAAAGCCTGAGAGAGATTTTCAAAATACAAACCAGCTCTCTTCCATGATGGGAAGCAACTTAACATTGTTTCATGGATTTAATAAAATAATAATAATAATTACTTTAGCTCATAAAAACCCCTTTGGGTCTGGCTCCAGCTTTCTCTCAGTGTCATCTTGTACCACTTTTTCACTCAAGCCACGGTGGCTTCCTTTCTACTCTCACACCATTGCGGCTTCTGTCTGGAGAGCCCGTCGTCCACCACTACAATTTGATATGTCTTCAGTTCTGACATGTCTCGAACACTTAAATCTTCCCACCCATTCTCAGCTTATGTGGTCAGTCCCTTTAAGAAGCCTTTTCAGGCTTACCTTTTTTGTTATCAAACATCAGAAGGAAGAACATCCTCAATTGTTCTGGACCCATAGAAGTTAAAGTTGTACTCTATTTTTGGCTTTTAAATGGTTTCTCATCTCAATAGAGAGATCACAGGAATGTAATTGTAATTAGTTACAAAAAAGGGAGAACATTTCTTCAGCTTTACCACTAAGAGAAAAACCAGAGTATATTATTATGAACTACATTTTCGTTTTACAAAGTAATGGAGATTATTTGTTGATAGTTTTTTTCAATATGTAACAGTATCTATTTTTAATAATATGTAAAAACAACAGAGAAGCATGAGGAAGCATACAACATTATTGGTAAAATGATTTGCAGCACTTACTTTTAAGGACTTGATAACATGAACAGAAATCTAATTTGCAAAAAAAATAACCAATTAGACTTCTCCTTATGAAAAGTAAACAGTGTGTTGCTTGCCATTAAAAATAGGTTAGCCATCACCATGACTCCCTGGAGAAATGGCTTTTCTCAAATCTGGGGCAGGGAAAGTACAGACTAAGCAGGGACATCTTGTTCCACTAAGCAGAGGATTGTTAGAGACTGAGTGGGACTGTCAGGAAAACACTGGAGTCAGCTTGAAGGGACCACTGCTCAGATTGAGACAGATTGTGCCTCAAAAAGAAGAAAAAGAATAACCGATTACAACACACTGAATTATAAGGTATAATACAGGAATCAGGGGGTGAGGAGGAAGGAAGGGAAATGCCAGGGTGGTGGAGAAGTAGTAGATGGAGTACTCTACAAAAGAATTCCAGCCAATAAATGTAGATGAAATAGGGAAATTGCCATTTTGCGCTGGTGGAATAGTCAGTAGTGTGTTATGCTACTAACCAAAAGGCTGCTGAACTCTGGTGGTTCAAATCCATCATCAGTTCTGCAGGAGAAAGATGGGAAGTTTCCTTCTGTTAAGATTTACACAGCCTCATGGGTCCCCTGGAGGATTGTGATGAGTTAGACTTAACTGGACTTGACAGCAATGGGTTTGACTAGGGATGGTGGGAGAATTGATGCCTTTGAGCTGTGGAGCTGGAGAAGAGTATTGAACATACCATGGACAACACACTGGTTCATCTTAGAGAAGATGAAACCAGGCTTCTCTTTGGAGGAAAGGATCCTGAAGCTCCTTCTGACATACTTTGGGCGTGTTACAAGGAGGGACCAGTCCTTGGAAATGGACGTCATCCTTGGGAGGATGGAGGAGGCACAGTGCAGGAGAGGAAGACCCTGCATGAGATGGATTAATTCAGTGATTGGGATAATGAGGGTAGATATGTCAGAGATGCTAAGGTTGGCTCAGAATAGAGCAGGGCTCAGAGCTGTTGTACATAGGGTCACTGTGAGTTGCAAGCAACTCGATGGCACACAACAACAATGACTAGTAGATTTGGTAGTCTGGTATGTTATGTATTGGGCTGCTAACAGAAAGGTCAGCAGTCAGAATCAGCCCACTACTTCTTTGGAGCAAGATTTACAGCCATGACAACCTGAGTCCTTGGGGATCAAAACTGACACTACAATAGTAAGAACATCATAACTGATTCAGGCAGGTGCCATCAATAGATACTAATATTACTGAGCAGAAGACATTCAGATGGCCAACAAACACATGAAGAAGTGTTCAAAATCCCTAGCCCTGAGAGAGATGCAAATCAAGACA